TTTTTTTCTTACAAGAAAAGTTTGTAACTTGTCAAAAAAATAAATAAAACACTGTTGACTAGAGATGCTGGTTTCAAGACATGCCCTTATCCATCCATCCATCCATTTTCCTCCGCCTATCCAGGGCTGGACTTCTGTCACCCCAGATACTTCCTCCAGCTCCTCTGGGTGGACCCAGAGGCGTTCCCAGGCCAGCAAAGAGACACAGTCCCTCCAGTGTGTCCTGGGTCTTCCCCGGGGCCTCCTCCAGGTGGGATATGCCTGGAACACCTCTCGAGGGAGGCGCCCAGGAGGCATCCGGAACAGATGTCCAAGCCACCTCCACTGGCTCCTCTCGACATGGAGGAGCAGCGGCTCTACTCCAAGCTCCTTCCCTGTGACTGAGCTCCTCACCCTATCTCTAAGGGAGCGCCCAGCCACCCTGCGGAGGAAACTCATTTCAACCGCTGGTATCCACGATCTTGTCCTTTCGGTCATTACCCAGAGCTCATGACCATAGGTGAAGGTAGGAACGTAAATTGAGCGGTAAATTGAGAGCTTTGCCTTTTGGATGGAGCGTGAAATATGCCCTTAGCTTCATAAAAACATCTAACCTTTGATCAGTATTACATTACTGTAAGTTACAGCAGCCTACTTATGATATCTCTTTCACTTTTTCCATTGTAGTCTTAGTTATCTTTGTCAATACATTACTATATAAGACAACATTGCATTATTTCAGTTGCATACAGTTACATCCAGAATGGGGTTGAATGTGGAGGTTATGAAATGACTAATGATGATTTTGAGTGATGGTGTCAGCCAGTACAAATGTCATATGGATTCCAACTAAACGCACACAAAGCAGCCAAATGAAAAACAACCTTACGCCACATTGACAGTCATTTCACTATGTTTATTCCCCCTTAATAACTCCACTATAATTGGTGCTGGTGCATGCAAAAAGGGTCAGCCCCTTGCCCTGAAGCGTAGAATTTATTTTTGAATTTAGGAGGCTGGAGTATTAGGAAATCATTGGTTCAATATTGTCCGGTGGGCTCAGAGATTCGAGTCCAGTGTGAAATGGGCTGTTGAGGAAGCATATCAATATTAATGGCATAACTCAGAGACCTCATTAAGCTGAAGGTCAGAGCAGTGCCAGGATTTAGAGTCACAGAAAGATAAACGCATTTCGGCCATTTTTACAACAGAAAAGAAACATTTGACTGCTGTCCGACCTGTCCTGAGGGGAACTTGTCAATGTAACTTACACTGTTTCAAAGCAGCTCAGACTTACCATAAATCTTTAGATGGAAATATGCTGAATGTTACTATGACCTCAAACCAAAAACATGCCATAACATAATCATATATGACAAGGGGTAATAGGAATAGAAATGAGGATCATTCACCTCAATAAAATATAGATTTGATATGATACAAAATTATGTGAAACTTTAAAGTAACACTACATAACCTGTGATGTTGGACAGCAATGTACTGATGCTGGAGAAAGTTGTCCGACATTTGGATATAAGTAGTAGTAGTAGTAGAAAGTATAACCATTGCCAGTTATTGATTGACTAAATTATATCTTGCAATTATATTTTTTTGTGTACAAGTACAACAAATAATCTCCTTACAAGCCCTCCTCTTGTCCAAATAAGGGTCAGGTTTGTGGAGATGCAAGCTTGCTCACAGTAAGGAACCATGTTTTTCAATGTTTATCAGTGCTTACAAAAAACAAACAAAAAACATTTTATTGGCCCGAGCCAATAACTGGTGAGGGCTATTGTTCTTCACCCACTTCTTCTCTATTATATTTTTTCTTGCAAACAACTGCGATTTTGAGGGCCTAAAGATTGAAGAAAGGTCCCAAACCAAATATGAGACTGACTGGTCCAGTGAAAATTTTGAAATGGTCATTGTGACAATGCCCAAAGTGACACGACTCTACAGTGCAGCCTAGAAGTGGACCCCTGTGGGAGTGAGGACAAGCAAAGTTTGGCGTAGGCAAACGAAATTCAGAACAGTATCCTTGTATGCATTAATTTGGGTCTCCAGCTTTTTGTCTTTCTTCTTGAGAGAAGCTTTGAGTTCTTGCATCTCAAAACCATCTTATTACTGACTTTTCTGGAGTTCGCAAGCTCTTGCTTCAGCTACACATTTTCCTGTACTGTACAGTGGTAAGGTACCGGATCTCTCTTATATGCATTAATCTGGTCTTGCAGTTGCTTGTCTTTCTTCTGGAGAGAATCACTGATTTTTTTCAACTCCACATCTTTTTCTAAGTTTGAGGTCCAAAGAATGATCTGCAAGTTGTCCCTTGCTCGCGCCAACTCTTCATTGAGCACCCTGTCCAGAGTGTCTCCTCCAGGGGTGGAAGATCCTTGACCAGAGGTGAAAGAACCTGGACCAGACTTCTGTCCTCTGTGCTTGAAGGCACCTGGATGTTGAGAGACACCAGATGGGTCACCTGCAGATCTTGACCACTCCGTGTTGATGTGGGGCAGAGCAGAGCCTCCAGGTCGAAACCCTCATCGTAGAGGTGGGAGTTGTCCACTGTAGTATAGAGGTACCAATTTTTTAACTAAAAGTTAAATTTATTAAGTTAAACATGCTAAAGTTATTATCGAACAATTGTAAAACTAGTGTTAGTTATAGTGATCCATATTTTTAAGCGATTCATTCTTCCTCATTGTTAGCAACATCACAATCTTTGTTTTGGTGGTATTGCCAACAGGGAGCACACTGCCTTTCTTAGTCACAGCCGACAACTCAAGACAAAGAGTGGATAGAGAAACTTGTCTACAAAGGGTCTAGGAGGGTCTGGCTACACTTGACAAAACGTGCTTGTTCATAAATGCCACAGTCTGTAACAAAGAAAAAGTGCATAATAGTACAAATTCTTAAAAGGGCATTGTCAAACTTTTATGGTAGAGGGACTGCCATTTGTGTGTGTCCATTGAAATGTTGCTCTGCCTGGAATGTTCCATAGTGTAGCATTGAAATTATATCCACAAGATCAGACGAAGTTCAGATCTGTGGAACGGTAAGAATGCAAGTTTTTCGAGGTATTTATCTTAAAGTTGCATTGTGTAACTTTTATTTTAGGGTTCAGTGACCTGCTTGTTTCTATGGATATGTCATTGCTCTGCCTGGAATGCTCCACAGTATGACATTAAATAGCTATACCTTACATTTATTCAATTACAGGTGGTTTTATAGCTCAAAAATATCTAGAAAATCAGGTATTCTGACTGTGAGCGGGGTTGCCTCTCCACAGGTCTAACCAGTAACTTGGTCTCCATGAAGATATAAAGGTTTAATGCCATACTGTGAAACATTCAAGACAAAAGAATTCCATCAGCATGGAGAGAAGAATTTGATGAAACCTCCACCAGAAAAGTTACAAAATGCACCTTTAAGCAACTAAAGAGAAATAAATAAACTGTAAAAAATTCCAATCAAAGAAATATTATCTCAGAGAGGCAGGTCGTCCACAGAAAAGTTACATAGTGAACCTTTAGGAAATGTACACAACTTACAACACCTGAATGCACTGTTCATGCCTCGATACCAAAAGGCTTACTAATTATTTCTTGTCTTATTAGTCTGAAGAAGGACTAGCCGATATTTGGCTTACAGTGGAGGAAGTGACGGGACATGCTAGCGTTAAACATGAATGACGTACCTCACATAGAGAGAGGTTTGAAGCTGGTGGAGGGGACATGATGTAACACTCTTTGGCTTCCAGTGCAAGCCCAGCCCCCCACACAGCTGACAGCCTGATGCAAGATAAGCCTCTCCCTGCTCCCCATCAAAACAAAGGACGACTTCTTAAGTTGTGCTTTGTTTCAATGAAGATACAGTATCTCTCATATCTATTCATTTGTTCCAAAATATTTCATCTTTTTGCCTCATGGTGGGATTTTTTTCCGATCTACACACAAAGGAGCACATCTTGTCCTTGTATTCAGATTACCAATAACAGAACAAAAAATTATGAATATGGTTGGGAAGATATATTAAAAGCAAAGTTCAGGCAGTAATACCACTAACATAATATTAAACCTGTACTTGATTTTTATGTCCTAATTATTAACGCAATGAGTTTACAAATGCTTTTTACAACTTTCAGAACTCAGAGCGCAGAGGGCGAGTTAACTTTGTATGGCCATTAGGTAATAAGACAACATACTATCTTTGCTAGTTTTAGATTACAGTATAATGAATGTATTATGTAAACAGTGAGACCAGCTATCACTTTGTTTTGATTGTTTGGCCTTTTTTGGTGGCAAGAGGTATATAGGTGTTGAAATGCCACTGTGTGTGTTGTTGAAACTAAATATAATAACAGTTTTAATGTACTCTGTAAAACAAACAAACAAACAAAAAAAACTCAATATATAGAGTGGAAAAAATGATGGTCCCCTTATTACTACATTTAGTACAAAAAATTGTATTCTATATTTAAATAAGCAAAACAAAAGTGCTACTACTTAGAAAGTCATAATGATTGTAAAAGAGTGTGGAATCACTATCCCTGGAGTAGGCGTTCCGGTGTTCAAACCTACACCTCCTACATATTTAACAGCGGTAAGCAGTGTTTTTGCTATAGCACCTCTTGTGGGAGAAACACATTTGTTTATGAACTGTTAATATAAATGAGTGCATCTAGTGTCCCTATATGACTTTTGATTGTTGAATAATAATTTAATATTAGATAATTTTTAATTTATCATAAGTGAACTGATTATTAAAATGTATTTTGAGGTAGATTAAGATAATTTTCCTGCATGTTGGTTACACACAAGTACTGACATCAGTTTGTACACAAGGCAGCCATATCCACTAACTTATCATAGGAGGTCATGTAATTTAATAAAAATAATACAAGATGATCAAATGCCATGATTTCTGTACCATATACTATATACTTATAAGTACATATTGTATATAACTAACCAATTAAAGTACAATATTTGTGGTGTGGCAAAAGTGCAGAGAGTCATCCTTACCAGCGGAGGGCGATATTGATGGGCGTGGTGAGGCAGGAGGTGAAGAGGTCAGCAGGGAGGTCAGGGTTCATAGGTAGCAGCTCACTGGCTTCACACGCTGCCAGCTGGATACAGTTCTTCATGGAGGGAGGGAGGGGCATCTGGGCCAAAGGGTGACTGGGGTTTATGGCTGCAACCTGGCCAGACCAAAAAAACAAAACATGTTGTCTTAAAATTATAATTATATATATTTGTTTCTTATTATTTTGAATCATGTAACTTAAAATTCAAATCCACTTTATTTATATAGCATATTTCAACTATAGCAGCTAAACTGAGCAGTACCTGGAGAACTAAAGAGAGGAGTGAGGTAAGAGGAAGGGTGGAGTCTGGAGGTAGAAGGAACAGTGTGATTGGAATAACATTTCAAACTGTTCCCCAGGGAGCCCGGTACACCTTCTGTAGTCGGGGCAGTTTTCTGTGATCTCAGAAAGCCTCAAACATAACTTGTTAGAACAGCAGACATTGCTATTAAACCACCATATACACAGCTTGGTAGTGAAAAAGGTTGATTTAGTGTTTTGCTCCATTTCAACTTTATCACCTGGCGCAAAATTAAATTAACATAATTTATTTTTAGTTCATTCATGTTATGAACTTGATATTAAATAAAATGTGTTTTACTAGCAAGGACCCCAGCATAACAACTGGACATAATAAAGATAGAGAGAGCGGGAGACACAGTGTTGTCAGGATAGGCCTGTATAAACAGGGTTTATGGGTAATTAGAGGTGTGGTTGAGGAGAACTGTAGTTCACTGGAGAGGAGCAGGAAGAGATTGACCTGTCCTATGTTTTTAAATTGTGGACAGAATTTTGTGCCAAATATTCAACTTGTGCATTTATAAACTTCACTGCATTTTACACTCTTAGCAACAGGTGAAAAATGCATTTGTTTTTCTCCTTCTTCTGCAACTACAGGAACAAAAGAACTCTTTGATATACCAATTTAACTCATAAAAATAGTACAAATTAATTTGTTTGGCATAATTTATCTTTTTGAGATACTCAGAATTGAATTGTGTTGATTGTAAGAGAAAAAAATTATGCCTATTGAAATCATCAAGTTGTGCATTTTACTGGATCCATGTTTGTAATATTTACCAACAGCAAAAATCCATAGGTCATGGTTGTTAGCATCATAATGGACTACCATGGACAAGAAAACTAAACAAAGCTAATCAGTGTCATAGAAAATAAACTTTGGTAATGTGAAGTGTGAATTTGTACAAATGTCCAGCAACAGGTGAAGACTTTAGCAGCCTCTAACCTCCCACGCCCGCCTCCTCAGTCTCTTTACACTCACAAGCTGTCCACAAATATTTGGATTCATTATTTCTTTCCAAGTAAACTTTTCTGATGTGTTAGTCATCAAAAGTGTGCCAAATGGTCAACTTATTTTGCATTTATCATCTTTCTATTTCAAAGTTACTGGATTTTAGAACAACCAACAACAAGGCCAATGAGGTGTTAGCATAATTTGTTATGACTACTGCTTTATTAATCATCAACAACAAATTAAATAGCATTGACTGTGCTACTCTTTACTGTGTAACCTAGATATTACTGATTCATAATTTTGTCAGAGAAATCAGACCAGTACAGTAGGGCTGTGCAATTAATATAATCATAATTGAAATTCATTCATTTATAATTGTTGATAATCAGCTTGTTTTTTTTGTTTCATAGTCACTTTCCTGGTTTGGAACAAAAATCTAATTCGTATTTTAAATGGCAGTTACTAAAGTCTGTATTGTTTATGATCATGTTCATTAGTTTTTAATATCATAGCATTATCAAATCAAAATCATGATAGAAAAATTCAAGGGGAAAAAATTGTTATCATACCAGCAAGCACACTGTGAAGTGTACCCATTATAGCTGTCATGTTAATGTAGGAGCTGTAAAAGCATCATTAGTAGTAGTAGTAGCTGTAATAGTACATATTATTAGAAAATAAATTAGGTTTTTCCAAGCTTTCAATCTTAAGAAATAACAGCTGAAATCAATGCTCGTTCTACTTCATTTTGAAAGTGCACTTGTTCTGGTGTGATACTTTATTGATTTGATTTTTCTCAAGAAACTGCATCCTTTTTTCTTTTTCTTTGCAGGTGGTCTTTCTCTTCTGCGGTAAACAACCCTCTTAAAACTGTGGCCGATTGCTCCCATGGTTTATAATAGCCAAGGTATGATGTAAAACTTTAATTATATTAGAAACTCTTGATATTTATGGGCTCATTTGGCTGCTGTATTCCTGATTTGTTCTCTGGGTGTTTAATATGGTTCAGTCTTTGGCAGAGAACATTTTAATGAGCTGTGTCTCTTAATAGAAGCACTGATCCAAGTTTCTCTTTATCAAACCAGACCGCAGTGCTTTGCTAAATTTAAGAAAGGCATTATGGTGGAGATTATTATGTAATTGGCCAAATGTTTTTCCTACATCTTTGTTTATGAAAATTTAAGTGCGTCATGTTTTGCGTGTTATAAATTACCAAGATGTATCCAAGTGGTGGGGAAAAAAATAAATACAAATTTACTCCAACTTCATATGATTCTGGATGTTAATGCATTGTATAGCCACAATCTCTAGGATTAGAGTTAAGGTTTCATGAAGGGCATCTGAGCTGATATACAGTCTACTGATACTTTGCAGCTAATGGCATCAACATTTGCTGCTAAATTTTAATTTGAGCTTTTGTTTTATTATTTAGTTTATTTATGTTTATTTATCTTAAAACTTTTGTGTCAGTGTTTGTTAATGTTGTCACTGCGTCACTATGGTAACTGCTACATGTATCTCAAATATTGAAATGTTTAAAACATCCCCAACATGATGTGAGCGCAAATTATCAATATCCAAAATAATTATTTAAAAAAGCTGTGAATTATGCCAATATCAACAAGCTGCAGAGGGATTAGATCACAATTCGATTTCTATCGCCAAACCCTAACTCAAAGTAATCAAATGCTTACTATATTTTTCGGAATAAGGCGCACTTAAAATCCTTTAATTTTCTCAAAAATTGACAGTGCGCCTTATAATTCAGCATGCCTTATGTATTAATTCTGGTTGTGTTTACTGATCTACCGATTTTATATGGTACACGGCGCTCAAAAATCTGTCAAAATGTTTTACTATGACTAGCATTACAGCTACCGTAGTTAAGAGCGTAGAGAGTAAGAGTGAGCAAGCTGTGTTTTTTTTTTTTTTTTACAGTGCTTATAGTTTATGTAAATTAGTCATGTGGTTTTAAAGTTGTTGTTTTTTTCAGTAAAACGTAAACAAATGTGCACAAAGCTGCATTAAACACATTATTATTCAATGTATAGTAGAGTCCCCACCATAGGAAATAAAAATCCAAACTTAAATTATCCACCCACGTTCACATTCATAATGTACAAGACAGTGAGGCAAAGCCAGGCGAATTACGCCATTATGTGCCAATGGATCATGGATGCCTGGGCTAAGGGATCAGTCTCAAGTGTTGTCTGTTTGTTTCGCTTAATGCGCCTTATGTATGAAAATAGACAAGATAATTCAACATTACTGATATTGCGCTTTATAATCCAATGCCCTTTATAGTCTGAAAAATCTGGTAATTAAGAAGATAATGGCTTTCAAACTGTATGCATTATTACTTATTACTTTACTCTTTGTACATGGAGGTGGTAAGTTACTTCTGACACCACTGGCCCTATCATGACCGTCAATGACACAACACAATCACTCACACAACCCACATTCATACGTACGCAAGGCGGCTGAAGTGTCTTCCCCAAGGTCAAAACTCCTATACACATTAGTCGGAGATGGAACTGCACCACCAACCTTGGGGTTTTGTGGGATAATGCTTCAACCACTGAGTCACTTGTTGTTTTTTTCTGACAAATGGTTTGAGAATGTCCACATTCTGCAGAGAAAGCTTTAGACTGTTTTACTCCACACATTTTTTGGATTACACAAAGCAGAGAACTCACTCCATAACTGTATGAACCTTTGACACTCCGCATCTGTTTACGTCAGTGGAAAATCTCTGAGTGACTGCTAAAACTCTTTCTGTGTTTGCAAACTGGCTGTGTTACAGGCAAAAGAGACTGAGCTGGAGAGGGAGAGCGTGAGAAAGTGTCTAAGCCGTGAGAGCTGGACAATGGAGGAGGAGCACACAAGAATGTAGTAAAAACAAAAAGTATAAACCAATCAGCCATAAGATTATGACCACTCATAGATGAAGGGAGTAAAAGATAATCTCTTCAGGTATGTATCAGATACATCTCTATCTACTATTCTATAAAGAAGAGGCATAAAAGAGAGTGACATTTGCAGTCAAATGAAGTTCAGAAGGCTAGCTGTTATGGAAGCGAGTTTCATTTTGAATTTTGCAAAATAAAAACACCATGGTCATGTCACTACAATGTATGGTCAGATGGAAGGTAGGCAGCAGTATATGTGTATAAGGCAAGGCAATATGAAAAAAACATATATGATTATTTGTCACTTCGATTTTATTTTGCCTCCTGAAAACAAATGAGAGTTACTTCCAATATGCAAGAAGGGAATCATTTAGTGTTTTCATTAAGGAGAGATTGAACTGGGTCAGGCTATCTCTAAAAGTATTCATGAAGGGGTTGTTGACAGTCTACAATAATCATAACAATAATAAGTAATGGCAGTGGTGGTAAACAACTTCTGTAGCCATAGCTGCCCTGGGACTGGCTGAGGGAAAAGTGGCTGCAAAATTTAAGCCAGCGTCACTCAAACACTGTATTTACATAAGCGAGATGGGTGAAGTGTTTTGACCAAGAATACAACAATGTGTACTTGTAATAGGACACTCTATAATCTAAACTACTGTTGCAAAACTTATGTAGTTCATATGATAAAAAGTGAATTATTCCTTCAGTTTGGTAGTTTATTATGTATAGGGCTAAATATATAAACAATAGCACTGAAATCTGTGTACAGTGATCCATCCATCCATCCATTTTCGTCCGCTTATCCGGGGCCGGGTCGCGGGGGCAGCAGCCTAAGCAGGGACTCCCAGACTTCCTTCACCCCAGACACGTCCTCCAGCTCCTCCGGGGGGACCCCGAGGCGTTCCCAGGCCAGCCGAGAGACATAGTCCCTCCAGCGTGTCCTG